ACTTATCGAATGACTTGTTGTTACCCTTTGAACCCGTAAATTACCTTTTGAGTAATGACAAGTGGGGTTGCAGACATTGGTGAATTTTTTTAGTTAAGGAATTTCAACCCCATCCTACTCAAAGTAGATGTTACTAAATCTATGTTTAGAGTTATAGTCAAAGGATCTGCCAAATTCTCAATTGACCTTACATTATTTAGAGAAATTATTTTATCCTTGATTAATTTCCTTATATAGTCATGTCTAAGACTTATGTGTCGAGACTTTCTATTGTATACCTCTTTATATGCTTTTGCTAATGTAGCTTGACTATCACACATGATAGATATTGAAAAAATATTCTTCGATCCCAAAGGTATCTCATAGAAGAGATCTTTTAGCCACTCAGCCTCTTTCCCGGCATCTGATAAAGCTACGAATTCTAATTTCATAGTTGAGTGTGTTATGCATGTTTGCTTCTTTGATTTCTAAGAAACAGCACCTCCTCCTAGAGTGAACACCCAATCTGAGGTGGATTTACTTTCATCCATGCTAGATATCCAACTAGCATCGGTAAATCCTTCTAATACCGTCGGGAATTTGGCATATTGAAGGCCTAAGTTCTTGGTTTTCTTTAATTATCCAAAGGGCTCTCCCAATGGCCTTCCAATGTTCATTACTTGGATTGTTAGTAAACCTACTGAGTTTACTTATTGCATAGGCTATATCCAATCTTGTGCATTGAATTACATACATGAGACTTCCTATAGCACTAGCATATTCAAGTTGAGCAATCGCCCTTCCATCATTTTTTACAAGTTTTAAACTTGGATTAATCGGGATACTATATTCTTTTATGCCCAAGTATTTGAACTTGTTTATCACATTCTCAATATAATGTGATTGACTTAGGTGGTAACCCCCACTAGTTTTTGTGACTTTGATACCTAAAATGGTATCCACTTGACCAAGATCCTTCGTTTTGAACGTGGAAGATGGAAACCTATTTGTTTCTTTTATAACGTCTATGTGATTACTCATAATCAACATGTCGTCAACATATAAACATATAAATGTTACATAATCATCATACTCTTTAGAGTATAAACATCTATCTACGCTATTATGTTTAAATCCGAATGATGTTATAGCTTAGTCAAACTTTTCATGCCATTTCTTAGATGCCTACTTCAAACCATATAAAGGTTTTACTAACTTGCATATCTTATGTTCATTTTCAAGTAGAACGAACCCTTCAGGTTGCTCTATATAGACCTCCTCATCGAGATTGCCATTTAAGAATGTTGTCTTGACGTCCATTTGATAAATATGCAAGTTATATATTGAAGCCAACACGAATAATATCCTAATCGATGTTATTCTAGCTATCGGTGCATAAGTGTCAAAATAGTCCATTCCTTCATTTTGTCGATATCCTTTAACTACTTATCTAGTCTTGAAAGTATTTAGAGACTCATCAACATTATATTTCTTCCTAAATACCCATTTACATCCAATATGGATTCTGATGGTAAATCGACAAGTTCCCAATTTTTATTAGATATTATCGAATCCATTTCATTTTGAATTGCATCTTTCCAGAAAATGCTATCACGAAAAGCCATAGCTTCTTTATATGTTTTAGGCTCGATTTCTATTTGTAGAATAAAAGGAATTGCTCTTACAACATTCAACTCATTTCCTTCTACTAAGTAAAAGGATATAAGTTGAGAATCAATTTCATCCGGTCCTAAAGATTTCTTAACTCAATTTATCTTCCTTCTTCGTGGTTCACTAGACTCGTCAATATTTTTAGAAGACATTTCATCATGTGTTCCACTTGAGCTAGGGATATTTTCAATATTTTTCCTCAATTCATTATCCGATAATAACAAATTTTCAAAGAACTCTACATCACTTAATTCGATAATCACATTGGTCTCCAAGTTTAGCAATCTATAAGATTTGCTATTATTAGTATATCCAACAAAAGTACATTTAATACCTCTTGGACCCAATTTGGTCCTATTAGGATTTGTGTTCTTGCAATAAGCAAGACATTCCCACACTTTGAAGTACCCAGTGTTCAGTTTTCTTCCTTTCTACGTTCATAAGGAGAAACATTTATATGTTTAGAAGGAATCCTATTAAGTATCCTACATACACTTAATAAAGTTTCACCCCATAAATTAAATGGTAACTTAGCATATATAAGCATGACATTAATCATTTCTACTAAGGATCTATTCTTTCTTTCAACCAAACCGTTTTGTTCGGGTGTCCTAAGTGTAGAACATTGGTTAATTATACCATATTGTTCACAATATATATTAAATTCACAAGAAAAGTATTCACCACCTCCATCACTTCTTAATGTCTTTATTTTCTTATTTAAGTGATTTTCAACTTCATTTTTATAAGTATCAAACAAATAAAAGGCATCATGTTTATGTTTCATCAAATAAAACATAAGTATATCTTAATAAATGTTATGAAATATCTATTTTCACCTCTTGTTAGTATGCCATTCAATTCACATATGTCAGAATGAATTAATTCTAATATGCTAGAAGTCCTCTTAACATTTTGATAAGGTTTTTTAATCATTTTTGCTTCTACACATGTTTTGCATTTAATGGTATTATTTCCATCATATAAAATTAAGTTACAATTTCTCATGCGTTTCATGATACTTTTACCTATGCGACCTAATCTAGCATGCCATAAAAAAAAAAAAAATCATGTAAGCAAAATCAACTTTATTTATTTCATTATTAATAGTACAATGTTTGACCATTCCTTCACAAATGAATAGTCCTTTCAAACAAATTTCTCGTTAAGTGATAATACAAGTTTACCAGACTCAAAGACACTTTTAATGCCCGATTTTCTCAAAAGATTTCCACTCACTAAGTTCCTATTCATATCTAGAACATGTAGCACATTTGTGAGAGTAACATTTTCCAGAAGTGAAGATAATTTCTATACTTCATTTTCCAATTACTTTGGACCGCACCTCATTGCCCATTTGGATCTCTTGGTCTCCATCCACTTCATTGTATGTTTTGAACAAAGATTTGTCATATGATAAATACATTGTGGCACAAATATCATACCACCAGCCGGGAACCTTTCCCTTAATTACATTTATTTCTCTCACGGTAGCCACAATATTGTCTTCTTGGATGGAATTTACTTTACTGTCGGAGTTGTTGTGCTTCCGGTGTCTACAATCTTTTAGGTAGTGTTCAGATTTCCTACAAACAAAGCTCCCTCCTTTGGTCTTCTTCTTGAACTTATTAAGATTCCTCGAAGGCTTCATTTTGTTGGATTTTGTTGGCAGTTCGAATTTTTTTACAGTATTTGCTTTGGAAGTGCCCTCACGAAAATCACTTTTATCAGGCATTCTCGACTCTTCCTCAATCCGAAGATTTTTTACAATTGTTCCAGAGAATAATCTTTAGAACTATGCATTATCTTATTCCGGTATCCTTTCCAAGTTTAGAGAAGTTTGGCAATTATAGCCCTACTTTAAAGGTCTCCGATATTTCAATTTTCACCGCCTTCAACTTATTGACAATTACTTGCATTTCATGTATTTGGGGAAGAAGGGGAATATTCTCTAAAAATTTAAAATCAAAGTACTTAAAAATTTAAAATTTCTTTGTACCTTCTTCTTTCGCTTTGTACTTACTTTCGAGCGCATCCCAAATTTCCTTTGCCAAAGTTGTGTTTGTATATAAGTCATACAAACGATCTGATAATGTGTTGAGAATGTGACCGCGGCATATTAACTCATCTTCTTGGTGCTTTTGTCTTTCATTTCTCACCACTTCGATTTTTCCATTCGTTGGTTCCAGTAGTGGTGCAAGATTCAGATCTAGGATGTAGAAGATCTTCAATACAGTAAGAAGAAACTTCAGTTTGTCTTTCCATCGAGTGAAGTTTGTTTCATCGAATCGATCCAACTGCACCAAATCCTGATTCATAAGTTTGATTGTTGTCATCGTTGTCTCACTTTTCCATCGCAGAACTAACGTTTGACATTGTTGGAAATATGGAAATGATGAAGAATAGATCAAAGAAATGTGACAACAAGATGAAATGAAATCATAAAATTGCTAAGAACAAATTCGAAGGCTTGAACGCGGGATCAATGTCCTCAAACATTATTTGTCTCTTCTCCGGTGTTTTCGTGATGCTTAAAGGTACTCCAGCAAATGGTTTGAAGGATTGTAACAAATCTTGTAAAGAATTTCACCAAAGCACAAAGTGAAATTCTCCAAAACTTGAAGAACACGAAGATATGAATGTAAATTAGGATTTGATTGTTCTTAGAATAAAGTATGGATTGTAAGATATTTTTCTAACATCATTCCCTCAAACATGGCTCTCCTATATATAGCCATCGACTAAAAGTATGAAATGGTGCCAAAAAATCAAGTGAAAAGTCAGCAATTTCAAATTTGTAACGATAAAAAATGTCAAAAACCGATCGAAATATTGTACCATACGATCGCATGGTTCACAGTCGTGACCATTTGGTCTCGGCATATGGCCATAGCCATGCAGTCGCATGGACCATTTTTTTTAATAGTTGGTTTTGAACAACCATTCACAGCATCTACATCTACAATATATGCCCCCCGGGGCATATTTCAGTGGTGCAAAGGATAAGGGTGAGGTATACTCAATCTTGCTGGCAGCCGCAGTGTGAGGGTTCGATTCTTGAAACATGAATTGAGATTATTTGTGGGCACCAGTGTACATACAAATCTTGTTCCCTAACCTACTGGAGTACATCCCGTGATTAACCTCTCTCACGATACTCCAGGGACAGGACGGTAGGGGACCCTTAAGGTTGGGGTTCAACCTTTTTTTTCCTTACATCTACAATATATAAAAGAGCAAGATTTGTTACTATTCACAATGCATCATCATTGTGTCATGCTTATGTCAATTTATCCTATTTCTTTTTTCTTTTCTTTTTCTTTTTCTTTTTCTTTTTGGGCCCTCAAGCATGGCGACTTTTTCTTCTGACATTCATTCACCATTTCTACGCACATCCCATTACTTGCTCCATTCTCCATTTTGCCTTTCAATTATACATCATACACATACCTCTCAGTTTTACTCCGTTTTCCATTCTTCATCCCAGTTATACATCACAATCACAAGATTCTTTTGCTATCTTCATTAAAAAATTTGGGGATGGAATTCATAGGTGGAAAAAGGACAGGTAGACCCAAAGGTGAGTTCAACGACAATGGCGGTTTCAAGAAATCGAAGTAATATTTGTTTTTCATTCTTTTTTACACTCGTTATTAGTTCTAGGGCTTTTTTTTTTTCCCTTTTCTTCTTTTTTTTTCAGCTACTTGCAGGTTTTACATTGAACTTTGAGAAGGGAAATCAAAATTCTAGGTTAAAAGTCTGGCATTCCAACATTTGAAAGCTGGGCTTGAGGAAAATTGAATAGAATTAGCTAAACAATATTGTAAACATTTGGCAATTAGAAAGAAAATGGCTCGTTTGGCTTGATGCTATGAAAATCATAGTGTATAATTGGGTTGTTGTTGATTCAAGAGAAGATGGTTATGAGAGGAATAGTTTGTGTATATTAATTTTGACCTTTTCTCATCAATATTATTATTATTTTAAAATTTCAAATTTTAGATGTTATGATTTCTCCCACCTTGAAATAAATCTTTAGGATTACCCTTTTTCCAAGTTTTTTTGTTGTATTAAATTTATGATGTTTGAATTAAATCATATGTAAATGCGTTCTCCACTTGCCAGAGCTCGAGCTGATTATGATTATATCTCATCAAGCTGTTGTTGATCGGCAATAGTGGTATGTGTTTCACGTACTTAACACTTTCACATTCTGATCGAAATGTGTGAACACGCTTTTATATTTGATTTTTGGCTGGGTATTTATATAAAAGCCTAACATATCTTAAGATTTTGCTGATTTACCATGGAATCTCTTCATTTCTTCTGCTGGGTTTTCTTTTCAATACCCAATTTCATTAATGGATCTCACAAGGATACGTGAGGTTGACGAGAATGGCGTCACCCGCATCGCCTATTCTATACCAATAGCTTTCAAATCTCATTAGTCTTAATCTCTCAAGCTCTACAGAAAAGATTATTGTTGAGCACATACGGTGAGTTTTTCTTCATTTAGTTTATGGTGTTGCTCTGTTTCTTGATAGTATTGGATTCTCTATTTTTATTTTCTATTTGTCCTAAAAAAATATGAGACATTGTTTTACCTATCTCTTGATGTAATTTTTGTGGGTTTTGATCCCTTTTTTGTCAGATTCTCTGGTTCTTCATTTTATTGTGTTTCATATGCACTAACGTGCGTTGTTTTCAATTATTGTGTAACATGCTTCTTATTATACATGTTTCAATCCATTCTTTTTACCGTTCTGTATATCTATGCGTATATTATCGTAGATATTTTGATGTTTATGCATTTTTTTTTTTTTTGGTCTTTCTGGATCAACCCTATGAACAGAAGATCACATTTTAATTTGAAGTTTTTGAGTAATTTCCAACCGTTATAGTTACAAATAGCCTTTTCATTATTGATGGATATTGATTGTACCTTTTCCTTGTTATCCTTCTTTGCAAATGTACATTTTGTTGTCTACTTGATGTTTATGGGATTTATTTGGAGGCATGAAATTAATAAGCATGGCAAGCTGACCATACTGGTAGAATAGATAGGCAAAGCCATCAATAGGTAGTTCGCCTATTGATAGCTTAAATTAGAAGAGATTAACAATTGAGAATCTAACAAACTTCACTAGTCTTGAACCAAGCTATCCAGTTTAGTCAATATCCTATGTAAGCAGATAACAAATTTTGGTTTTACTAGACAGAGATCGTTGATTGTAGAAGTTGTGATTATTTATGGTGCTGATTATTTTGTACATTTTGTTTTAATTCATTATAATTAATTCTTTTCAAGTGGAACAAACATTTTTCCTCTTGTTCTACCCATTGTCATTTCATTTAAACAATATTTAAACAAGATTGGTGGCTGTGGTATGGACGTCAGAAGCAAACAAGGGTAATCAACCCTTCTTGTCTTGAATTTTCTTTTTACAAATGTAATAATTAATGTTCCATAATGAGTTTATAAATTCTTACACGATATCTTTGGTTTTGGTAGACACTTTCTGGACCCATTAATGCCCCTGCAAAGCTTCCGAACTGGAACTATGGTGGGTCAAGCATGGGCCAAGCTCTTAGAGAAGACTTTTAAGTCATCTTATAGTAAGCCGTCTTCCATTTAAGATATTTTATAATGAAATATATGCATGCGCATTAATGCATTGCATGACGATGAGACAATCCTCAAACAATTTACAATGATCCATTCAGGAGGGTAAATAACATATTGGTGAGTTATTTTTCCCCTTATTACTAATAAATATTTTGTGTTTAATTATGTTGTTATGTGGATTATATGATATCGCCTTTTCTTTTTGCCTCATAGATCATCTGTGATGCTTACACCCTAGCTAGTGAGCCAATTCCAACTAACAGAAGGAACAGTCTAACCAAAATATTTAGCAATCCTAATGTTGTTGCCGAAAAACCTTGCTTTCATCATTATGTGCCATTTGCGACTCCTCATTTAGTTTACATTTTACAATCCCCAATTTTTTAGAGCTATATCTATAATAGGTATGGTGTTGAGCAAGAATACACCTTGTTGCAAAAGGATGTTGGACCTCAAGTAATTGTTCTGCTTTCGATGATTGCTCATTATTCTCTGTTCATTAAGATTGTGATTACTGAATGGTTTATTTCTTCTTCACCTGATAGATAGTCATCGCCGTCCGATCATCAATCAGTTCTCTTTCTTTTGGAACCGCAAGGTGGCAACTCAGATCGATGGGAGACTAAAATGATGCCTTAATACATCATCCAAACTCCGCTGTCCATGCCCATGCAAGGCTCTTTTTATGATCCTAGCATCCTACCTTTTTATGTTTGTCTATTCGTCATCTTAATCTTTTCAGTTGTTAATAGTGGCGGATCCAGAGGATGGCCGCCCTAGCTGGATCCACCGGGATTTTTTTGGTTAGTAATTGATTAAATTTTTACCTTATATTGTTGATAATTGATTTTATTTTCAAACATCCCTGTAGCTTACTTGGTGAAAGCCAGCTTTAATATATTTCAAATCTTAGGTTCGAATCTTTGTCAATGGACTTGTTATGTATTATTTTTATTCTATAATTTTTACCAAAATTCAATAAGGGAGGGACAATGAGGATTTGAACCCATGATCTCAAGCAAGGGTTGTGGTGAACTTAACCATTATGGTACCACTTGAATTGTGTTACTAAATTTAACAAAATGATATTTGTTAGGTTTTGATTGTTTTAATGCAAACAAATTTAAATATTCGAATTCACACTCTTCCTTTGAATTATAGAAAACTTCACAATAATGTTATTTGATGAGTTCTATTTATTCTTATAACAGAATTATATATATTCATTTTGCACAAAATAATTGCTATATTTATACTTTAGGCCTTGTTCGATTCTCCCTTTTTTTAGAACTACATTTTTCTTTCTTCTTTTCATCCATACATTCTTCAATAAAATAATATGACACGTAAATTTAAAATTTTTCTTTATTTTTAGTCACACATTCAGACATTCTCCATCAATTCACCATTCCAAAATGTATTTTTTGAAAAAAAAATCGATACAAAAAGGACTTTTAATATTTTATTGCGGCCAACGGTAGATGGTCAACGACTGACCGTGCTGACTCAAACTCCTGAATTCGCCACTGGTTGTTAATTACCTGAAATCTTGAGAATAAATTTGAATTGAGCCCCTTTTTCTATGAGTTTGATAGGAGTCGTGAGTTAAGTTCTTCTCAGGCTTCCATAAGGATATTTAGATGATGTTATCCATCACCATTTATGTCCAAGAAGATCTAAGTAGAGATCTTGTTGTGAAGTATCTCCTAAAGAAAGAAGGAAATGTTTTTTCATCTATTTGGAGATCTATATATATTTTTTTATATTTTAATTTGTTCATGTGTGAAAGGTTTTTTAACTGAAATTCGTTTGGTTCTTAGCTGTATGAATGCTTAAAAATGATTGTAATAATCTAAACAATGCCTACCTACTATATAGGATGCGTAACCTGCGTAGTGATATCGTTGTGGTCCCTGAAGCCATAGTTAATTCAAACAGGAGGTCACCAGTAAGGTATATACTTTTCTCCAATCTTCTACGTGTGATCATTTTGGGTAAAAAATTTTGAGCAGTCAAACTTCCACTGTTATGCTCTTAATTCAATTAGAGAAGAAATCTCACAAATTGAGAAAGAAAATGCTGATGTTGATAACAATGTTTTCAAGGTAAATGCGTTCCTTTGGGTCGACCTTTGCGGCTGTTTGATGAAAGCTGGGTTTACAATTCTTATATGTCCCATTTGTATACATTATTTTGATGATGACATCTGCTATTTCATGAAAGTCAATTTACAAAATGACTCCGTATCGTTAAAAATATAAAATAAATTAATCAATCTACATGGTTAAGTATTTAGATGTCCTAAAATAATTTATCCTTTTTAACAAAATCACTTGTTAAATTATAACAGTGATCGTGCAATGCACGATTCCTATTAGTATATATAAAATTGTGGATGTAAATAGCGGTACCCAAAAATTATTTCTCAAAGAAACCATTTTCTAGAAACCAAGGATCATATTACAATTCACTTTTACAGTGGTGTTTCTGATGCAGTAGTTTCTAATTCAATTTCAATCAGATTTGGGAAACCCAGATTTAATAGTAACTAGGTCAACGATTTCTTACTTTAAATTCCAACCTGGGAATTTCATAAAACCTAGAGAAATTTGTAGAGATTTACTTGCATCTGCAAATAGTAGAGAGTAGAGAGGTGATTTCGTGACACAAAGTTAGTCTCAAGGAAAAAGATGGACGATTCTTGAAGGCATAAAAGAGAAGATGGACGATTCTACACAAGAGGTTAATAATAATAATCATGGGGATAAATATAGTTTTTAAACACGTGTAAGGATGTTGATGTTATATATAAGAATAATACTATTCATAGTCGCTCAATGTGGTAGTCGCTCTATGTGGCATCCTACGTAGCGGTTTGTGATTTGATGTATTAATTTGGTAGTTTTTTCTTGCCATATATATCAAATCACTAACCACCATATACGTGTCACATAGGACGACTGCGATAGTGAGTGATTACAAATAACATTATTCTATATATAATGGGGATGAATATAGTGTTTTTTTTAATGATTTTGAAATTGTTTCAAGAATGTATTTAGAGTGGGATGAATATATAAAATTTGTGTTGATATACGTTGTTTAAATGAAATAATTCAATAAGGGTAATATCGGAATGTAATGTGGATGACAATAGTAATTTTTAAAATTTTAATATTTTTGTAGGGGTGAATATATAAAAACCTTGGATGTAAATAGCCGTACCATTTATTTAAGATTGCTGAAAATATTTTTTATTTGTTAGTCAGAAAAATTATTTTCCAAAATATGAAATTGAGAAATATGAACAATTTCATATTTTGGAATTTGCTAAATTTATTTTAAGAATTATATTTCCGTAAAATACAACAAATTTATGCTAATATGTATTAAATACATATACATTTTAAAGTTAGTGAATTTTACAACAATTTTTTTCCTTGCTGTAAAAGTAAATACAAACAAATAATAAATTGAGATGACAAAACATAGGAGAAAAAATAAAAATAGTTAATGATGTGAACTGAGATTTTTTATATGCTTTTATTTAAATAATTGATAAGAGTTTTCATCTATTGCAAATACTGAAAAACGTAAAAAATATATAAGTTTAACATTGTTTTCAAAAATATCAGAATGAACAAATTTTGAGTATTTTACATAACAAAAAATTGAAAATAACTAGAAAATGTTCTCATATCTTTTGAGGAGAAATTGCAAAATTGATTTTAATCTATAGTTGAAGCAATACGTGTATAAAATTTTGATTCATAACCTTTCATTAATAGTACATAGACATGTGTCAATCAATATCTAGTTACCATTTTTATGAAAAATTGTTAATTTTGCAACTTGCTGTGGCACCCAAAATATTGATGAAACAAGTTTAAAAGGGTCAAGTATGCAACAATCCCCTTTACTATAAAAGAGGCAATCTTATTATACTATTCATTTATGTCCATTCTGTTTCACACTCAAACTGGATTGATTACTGTTCACTAACCAGTTCCCAATTGTTCATACAAAAATTCTCTTCTTTTATACACTTTTTAACTTGGATAATTGGCACAAAACGTCCAAACCTTTTAAGTTTATTGTGGAAAACGTCATTACTTTTCATTTTTTGACATTTTTGTTTTTACCTTCTACTTTTCTTTGCAGAAAACATCATTTTGACCATTTTTAGTGGAAAATGACTAATATAGCTTTATATTAAACAAAGCAAAAGAAAAAAGAAAGAAAAATAAATTATAAATTGCAAATATACTCCCAAACTTTTTAAAAAGTGCAAATGTGTCACAAACTTTTTATTAAAATTGCAAATGAGTCCAGTCATTTAACATACGTTCACCATTATTAAACCTTGACAATCTGGAAATTAAAACCACAAACCCTAAATCAAAATCTGAAAATCAAAACCCATAATTATTCCACTAATTATCTACTCGTTTTTTTAAGTCAACTTCAGGCAGATTGGAGAGAGTGAAAAAATTCACAAGGCCATTTTCATCCTTTTGTATCTTCCCCGTCCCCTCTCTCTCTGGCTTCCTCTGATCTGGCCCCGATCAACTTGAAAATGTTCATTCTGTAGTGGGTGCAACTAGCCACCACGCCGGGAGTATGGGCCTGAAGCACAATGTTCTGAAACCAACACAGGATGCAATGGACTGCTCAGATGATTGAGTTTCGTCTATCAGCAATAGAGAGGAGGGATTGGAATGCCCGATATGCTGGGAATCCTTTAACCTTGTCGCAAACATACCCTGTCTTCTGGTGTGGTAATGTATTATAAAAAAAATTGCATTCTGGGACTACAATGGGCTGTTGTAAAATTTCCTACTTTACCTGCCTGGCTTCCGCTCTTCATATCTTGCCCCTGGTGCATTCTCTTATCACTCCATTTGGTATATTAGGGAAACCTCAAATTTCCTCATAAAAACTTCTTTCTTCTCTGGATGCTCGAAAGCATGAATGGTTTGGACTTAAGCTTTGAATTGGGATTGAGATTTTGATATGGTGTTTTGAATCTAAGGTAGGGACGTTAACAGGGTAGGTGTGGGTAGGGGCACCCTTCCCCACCGCCGTCCCACTGCATAGTTTCCCGCCCCATACTTGCCCCATGTCGAGGTTTGGGTGGGGCACGATTTTTTTTTCTTTTTATTATTTTATTATTTTTATTTTTTTGCTTTTACTTTTTTATGTCCTTCGTTAATAAATATTATTACTTTTTCACCAATTTGTTAAAAGCAACCTATGTTCTTTTTAAAAATAATGATAAATCTATTATTTTTATTTGATAAAAACTTATATTTGAAATTAATATTAAATGGGACGGGGACTATATTTTCCGTATCCATTCCAAACCCATTTCAGGGCAATGACCCTCAACCCATACCCATCCCATGTACCCGGTTAGGAGGATATTCCCAGTCTCATTAAGGGCAGGGCCCACAGGTATCGAGTTGAACAGATTTTTTTTGTAATCCCTAATTCAAGGCATGTTGCACTTGAAACGTAGCAGGTTAATGGAATAATTATGGGTTTTGATTTTCAGATTTTCATTTGGGATGTGTGGTTTTAATTTCCAGATTGTCAAGATTTAATAATGATGAATGTGTGTTAAATGATTGGACTCATTTGCAATTATAATAAAAAGTTTGGGACTCATTTGCACTTTTTAAAAAGTTTGGGAGTATTTTGCAATTTGTGCTTTATATTTCTTTTGTTTTGTTTAAATATAAAGATATATTAGTCATTTTACACTAAAAATGGTGAAAATGATGTTTTTTGCAAAAGAAAAGTGGAAGGTAAGGGTAAAAATGTCAAAAAGTGAAAATGAGGATATTTTCCACAATAAACTTGAAAGATAAGAACGTTTTGTGTCAATAACTTTCTCTTACCTATCCAAAGCTAAAAAAAATGAAGTCAGTGATTTTTCATTCGACTAACCATGAGAGGAATAAGATGAAGGCTTGGGTCGTTACAGATGTGAAAGTTTTATAGCACAATTGATTAATTCGATTTTCGAGTAGCTTAAATTTTCAACTTGTGTAATTTTCTCTGGTCTGCTAGCTTTGTTTCTCTTTCTCATGTTTATTTATTCAATTTTACTTGAGCATGATCTCTTGGCAGAGAAATTAATTAATCAATTCAGATGTAATTCATTTTTTCGTAGTTGACGAATTGACGATGAAATCATATCACTTGAAGTTGCCTTTGTCACTTTTTTTTTTAGCCTGTCACTTTTTTTTTTTTTTTTTTTTTTTTGAGTGTTATTCACTTCTTTTTAAATGTCTATCAATTTTTTGAGTGACAAACTTAGATTTTGATTGTTGTTTTATCACTTTTTGAGTGAGTTACTTTTTTTTTTATTTTTTGTCATTTTTTTAGTGTTTGTCACATTTTTCATCACTTTTTTTTAGTGTTTGTCACTTTTTTTTTTTTAATTATTATCACTTTTTTGAGTGACAAACACTAAATCTTACTAAAATGCACAAATCGTTTCGACACCTCTGCCATGATGAAAACTATAAAATCTAAATTAATTAATCTTCTTGTAATCTGTTGAATTAACATATCTAAGTCATGAATTTGTTTATTATGTTCTTTTTTCTGTCTATGTACATGGAAAAATACCTTCAACATATGTAATTCAAATATACAACGCAATGCAAAAAATTCACTGTAAGAAGACTCAACAAGAATGCACTAACTCTTAGCTTCAAGTATTCAAAATTTGAAGTAAGTTTTACATCGTTTTACATCAAATCTTGCACCAAATTAAAAGTCATCTTTACCATTATATCAAAACTTACACCAAAATCTCACCTAGACAAGGATCTAATCACAATAACAATGATAATGATAATAATAATTTATTGTATTAAAAAATATATAACACAAATACCCTTCATCAATTTGTTTGACAAAAAAAAAAAAAGATTGAAAATTTTGGTATAACAAAATTGTTCGAAATAAAGGCTTGGGTCGTTACAGATTTGTTTTGCACTTGCATATACTTTGCATTGAAAATCAAACGCTCACTCAAGATGATACTTCATTCTTTAGTCCATGTCTCTGTTCCCTACTTGAGTCTGCTATTTGCAATTTTTGTTCATTCGACATTGATATATATCTAATGATAGAAAATTCTTTGTTATTGTTTTGCGTGGGTTAGTCGCTAACAATTAAAAAGGGATCAGACGATTGTGTAAGGGACAAACCTCTTGAGACAAAGTCCCAAAAAGGGGTGTTTTTATTGGCGATGACTTTACAATTGGAAA